AGCTCTGGCGCAACATTTTAAACCTTTAGAACGCTCAGGAGATTCGTTGTGAGATTACAAACCTTGATAACCGCGTTTCAATTCAGAGCTCAACGACTTTTGAACAGCCAGCCTTGTTTCCAGATCATGTATCTGTAACGTTCTGCTTGAAACAAGTCCAAGATACCGGAAAGACACGAACCTTGCCCTCCGAAGCCTCCCTCCCTATTTCTTCGTTTTCCTCTTGCAGCGTACGACACTTTGCCATGAGCATTTTGCCGTTTTTACTGTGCGGAGTGAACTGGACAGCGGCGAGATCGTCAGTCAGCTCTTTGGCCTTCTTTTCCGCAATTTCCAGCTCCTTGTAGACTTTGGAAGTCACAACCTCAGACAGTGTTACCATTGTCTGGAAAAGACTAACCTTCATACGTGTAAATTCTACATCTATAGCAGTTATCTATCTTTCACGCACGACCATCCAAGACCAAAAACATTGATATCTCTAGATAGAAAATGTCAAAGCAGCCGGCAATGGAGAAGTTGAAAATTGTTTGCTAGTCCAGTAGCTACCAGTCAATTTCCTTTCTTCTTAGTGATTGAGCCCATTGGGGCCAGATGGTACTATGGGGAAGAGCAACTTACTTGGTATTTTTGAAGTAAAATATAGAGAAGTGAACTGTTTAAAGTTCTCTGGATGGCAATCTTCACCTAGATCGACTCAGCAACTGCTTTCTTAGATTCTGTGTGTTGCCACCATGGTTTAGTTGAAACGGTGTTGGTGGATTGTGCATCCACAGAATTCCTTACATGTAAAGGCACAAGGCTGCCAGATAACCTTTAATTTCATTTGTTCCAAGGAAAATGCTGCTGTGAAATTCAACCAAAGTGTGGTAGAAACAGATTCAACCAAAGTGCAGTAACAACACAATCCAACGCTGCCAAACAATCTTTGTAAGCTGCCCAATCAAAGCAGGATCACCATCATCCCTTGTTTATATTTTACGCATTCTTGCAACCTAATCGAGATTAGGGCATGAGGACGACTTGCCTGCGCGAAGGCGACGCTCACGCAAGTGCCAGGCCAGAGCGCGGGCCTCGGGACGACGATCGCAGGCCGCCTGGGCGCTGGCCTAGCAGCAGGGACGACGATGGAATGCATCGCAGGCACTCTAGCTTGCACAGGCGACGCTCGGGCAAGCGCAGGCACGACGATGGAATGGATGCCTCTAGCTCCCGCAGGCCATGCTCGGGCGACAGGCCGCGCTCCAGGAGCCCCAAGCGCAGGCGTAGCAGGAGGGGCGACGCCTCCCCGAGGCGTCCATGCACGGAGGAGGCAGAGGAGGAGGAGGAGGAGGCCACTGGTTGGGTCCCCATTCCAGGCAAGCTCCACCCCACCGGACTGGATGAGGTGGTGGCTATGAAGTATGGCTTCTTTCCAGTTCGTAACAGGGACACTCCTCGGGACGAGGATGGGAAGAAGAGCGACATCTTCTTGTGCGACAAGGCTGCCTACCAGGTGTTCAATGATGCTCATCTCCGAGGAACGGAGCTGGGCGCCTGGGTGACCAAGCGTCTCCGTTTCGGTGCCTTGTTCGCACACCACAACTACGACCAGGTACCGGGCTGGAGGGTGATCACATTGTTTGGGCGACCCAAGGCAATGCTGCCAACCCGAAGCAAGACGGTGACTTTCAATGAAGAAGTTTTCTACTTGATCGATCGGTACTGATTCTTCTTTTCCTGGCAGGTCATTCTGCAATGGCTTAAGCTCCATGGCCAGCAGGATGATGCTGAATATGTGGAGTCGGCTAATCTGTTTGCCGATGCAGCCACTGGTATCGACGGAGGCGCTGGCTCCTGGAGGACTGTTTTCGTGTGTGGCAACACCAAGTTTGCAGAGCTGCTCAGGGAAGACTTCGCGGGTTTACAGCAGCTGTTTCTGGAGCGCCGGGCAGTGGACAAGCCTCGTGACGTTCCTTTCAGGGTGTGGCACGTAACAAGCCAGAGTTGCTCTCAACTCGAGGAAGAATGCCTCAATGAGTCGGAGCAGGACTTCTCGTATCAGAGGGGAGGCTGGGCGTACCTGAGGGAGAGTGGAATCCCGAGGCCAGCGTCAGGAAACTGCCTGCGACGAGGTGAAAGAGTTTGAGCTCTACTTGAAGAGCTCTCACCTTCGTCGTGGTTCCATGAATGGAAGCTTATAGCAACACAGACCTGTGTGCTTAAGGAAGGAAACTGCTGTTGTTTCCTATTCCCAAGATATATTAATAATGAAAAAGGTTCTTTTTCTCTAGAACACTAGTAACACTGCCCAATCTCCCATTCTGCAATTCTCACAAGAGAAGAGGAGAAGGTTGATAATCCAAAGTTAATGATTTGTACTTGCCTAGTTTTTGAAGTGAGAAACTCATCATGTGACATGTTCTAATAGCTTTTGGAATATCAACTTCCTAACTTTTATAAATACTTGATATATTTCAAGGATATTCAAATTTTAAAATGCATTTATCTTCCGGACTTCCAAAATATGTATTTTACAGAAGGCCCATATCACAATGCCTTACAAAAAGTAGCATGTAATAAAACAATCTTAACAAAATAGGTTAAGCTCAATAGTAATGATCCAAATGCAAGACAACATACATATATTGTAATATGTTTACATATGGCAATGTTGGCAAAAGCAAAGGATTATTCCTCAACCATTTCTTTTAAATACCAAGTTATACAACTTATGTATTAAAATAGGTGTTATATCATTTGACAATATTAAAATAGGTAATGATGTAATTTACTAAAACTTTCAGTAAACTATTGTTACAAGAGGCTTTTTGCTGTTATTTGCAAGAAGCATGCAATTTTTAAATGCTTACACAGATTTCACTTTAATATATATTTTTTACAGTTTACAAGACCCACTATATCTTTGGGATATTTTTAAAGGGTCATATTTTTTGTTAGAATAAATACTGCATGAATGATAAAGTATTTTGAGTTCCATAAAAAAAAGTTGGCTTTATTTATTGATCAAGTACTATTATATAATCCAATTGTTGGAGACATGTTTCTTATAAGAATAATGATACAATCTTCTTTTAATATCAATTTGTGCAATGGTAGTCTAAATGGAGTAATAGAGTTAAAACATTTAATCGGGAAATTTTCAAAATGCTTAAACATTAATAAAGTCAATATTAGTGTAAATTTAAAGTGGACTTAGTAATTGAGAGATGATATTATTTTTAATTAAAAATGTATCATCATTAAATGGTGTTAAAATGGCTCTGTTTGTTGCAATTTGAACATTTGAAATGCCTTTGATGCATGGGAATACAAAATCAATATTAAAAGTAGTTCAAATTAGTTTGAAGGAAGAAAGATAGAATCAAATGGAAAAATAGAGTTTAGTGTATAATTATTTCCATCAAACAACCATTCTGGAATTTAGGGTTAAGTTTGTTTATTTGCAATTAAATTTTTTTAAAAAACATTTTATATGCTATGGATGTAAAAATAAATTGTGCTTGGTGACCATGTAGGATAATTGATAATGTTTGATAGAAGTCACCACTTGTAATGCCATTGAATGGAGAATTATTTTGTTTCAAGTTTCTCAAATAATTATCAATTTGACTAGTGATCAAAAACCTTCATATAAAGTTTTAGATTATAGGTGAATTTAAATGTACTAAAAATTTTATCCCATACATTAGCTTAATACTCTTTGAATTTGATGTTTTATTTCACATGTCTAGAAAATAATTTCCCCTTTGTCTTGGTGACAATTTTAAACTACCAAGGTCAAAAATTTGATTGTGTAGCCATCTACTTACCTTAGCCAATGTTTACTCATAGCCAAATTTATATTGCATTTTCAAAATGCACATCACCACAACAACTAATGATCAACTTGACACAACTCATACACAAGGCCGCTTAATTTTAATCAATCCATCAATATTGTATATAAAGAAGCTTTATATTAACTAGTTCCCCCCCCCCCTACTGCATACATTAAAATATACAAAAGAAATATATGTTCACATATTCACTTGGAGTTTCTCATCTCTAGATAAAGCTCTCTATTGCTTTTTTTTTCAATTTCTCTATAACTAGGTCTTTCGGAACATGAGGTTACCTAATTTTAGAAGTGAGAAACTTGTGCTTTGACATTTTCCAATAGCTTGATTGCACATGGAATATCAAGCTCCCAACTTTTATAAATACTTAATATATTTCAAGGATATTCAAATTCGAAACGCATGGAGGCTCATACTTTATAATACATTTACTTATAGATTGATCACAATGCTTTATAAAGAATAAAACAATGTTAACAATATATTTTAAGCTCAGTATTTATGATCCAAATGTGAGACAGCATACATATATTGAAATACCTTTATATTATATTTTCAATACAATTTTCATATATAAAAATTTACCATGATTTTATAATTGAAATATCAAATAATTAACTATATTCAATGAATTTGTTAATGCTATAAGTGTCCAACCCACTTTATTTTATTGATGGCCCTAATGACAGTGGCAAAACATAATGATAATGTACTTTGAATTCCATACCCAAATAGTAACAATTAAATAAGCACACCATTAGACTTTATATACTTCTTCTTTTTTAGGATTTATATTGGTTGATATTTGACTCAATTTTCCTCTCTCTCTCCCCGATGCATTCCCGGATTGCAGATTAGGGTTAGGCCTTTCTTCATCCAAACGTCCCTCGAAAAAAGAGCATGTACAAAGGATATACCTCTAGTGTCTCAGGTATAAAGACGTGACAGGTATAAAGACGTGACGTGTTCTGCCGAGCTTGATGGAGTGTGACTTATTATAACTGGGTGAACACACTAGGAACTTGCTTGCCAAGCTTGAGCAAGATGACTTGCATTTTTTTTGTGGGTACAAGATGGTCTACATGGCATTTTAATCTATTCTTGGGTTCAAAGTATGTTCTTTTTCTTCCCATTTCAACATTAAATCAGCAGCAATCTCCTTATTACTAGGAAAATAAATACCTAATTGGTAGAGCTTGCGTTTCTAGACAAAATAACACATTAGAGGTACCTATAGTTGTCTCAACTTCTACAAAGTTGAAACAATTTTTGTATCACAAGAGAAAAGACACTGCCACCCCCATCATAGAGAACAAAATATGCATCACAAACACACAAAATTGAAGAGCTGGACATCTTCATTGAATGGAACTGTTATACTCAAAGTATTAGTGAGAAAAGCTACCATATCTCACATGTAGTTTGAAATCTAACAAATGGCTGACGAATTTATCAATTGAAACAAAAGAAGTGTCAATATGAAATTTACATAAGGACTAATGGATGCTTACGCTTCTATAAGGCCATACCTAGAGGCCTCCTAGAAGCATACACAAGGAGAGCATGTAAGCCAGCTTTGCTAATTTGTTTCAAATGAAGCTGTTTCAAAGCATATCAAAAACTAAACACAGAACACTTACTTTGTAGAAGAATGAAAAGAGCTTTACTAACAATTGCCTCGTGTGTGTGGCTGCTGATGTGAGAAAATACACTCATACTTTTTATATTTTCGTTGTGAACAACCATAAGCAACCATTTTCCCTAAGTGGCATTTTTGTAAAAGAACTCTACTTCTCTTTTATTTCACTTTTTATCTATATTCGGAAATGGTTTGATAAGCACAAAATAGTTGCTATGAATGGTTCTTTTGTTTATATTTTTTTCTTGTAAATTTAGCTTCAAACCTCCCCTAATATTGAAGATTAAGGCATTAGCAGAATGGACAGGCAGCTTATCAGCCGAGATAACTATGGAATGCATCGTAGGCCAGAGCTTATTCTGAATGAGTATACTTAATAAAAATTTTATTTCTAAAATAAAAACCTTAATTAATTTTTTTTATGTATAGAATTTTGAAAAACCTTGTTTAATAAGTTTTTTATAAGTGATAATAGTGACAGCAAATTCTTTAATATTTTAGTACTAAGTGATATATTTTATGAAGACATTTAAATTTCCATCAAAGAATATTATGAGAATGATCCCAGGATGTTATATTCGTTTTAGTTGATAAATTCGTCACAATTTCGGAGCTTTCACCTTGGTCATGATTCCTAGAAAGTTTTTGTATGGAAGCTCAAAGTAATATGATCTGGGAAGTGCTTGCAATCCCAATACTAACATAAGAAAATTATTTTTGTTTCTTATTCCCATTTAGTATATATTAATTCTAGTGTTGATTTTCCATTCTAAGAAGGAAAGAATCTTCATAGCTTTTAGTATCTTTGAAATTTAAAATTTATTATTATTAACACACCATGTGTTTTGATCTTTCAAAACATCCCAAAGATATAGTGGTATTTATATAATGTTTATTTTAACAAAAAATTTGATTTTTCAAAACATCCCAAAGATATAGTGGGTGTTGTAGATTATAAAAATTAATATATATTAAAGTAAAAATTATGTAGGCATTTGGAAATTGCATGCTTCTTGCAAATAATAATAAAAAGCCTATTGTAATTAAAGTTTAATGAAAGTTTTAATAAATTATATCATATATTAAATATATTTAATATTGTTGAATGAATTTTTGTGAAGGAGAATAATACATAAATGGTATAACTCAGTATTTAAAGGAGATATTCAGTATAATTGAGAAATAATTTTGCTCAAGCTTGGCAGTTAAGTTTTTGTTTTTTTAATTTTGTTATAAAATTCTTCGTTTGTGTTCATAAAATCATTTTATTATAAATCGTACACGGTGATAATTTCTGGGATCATTCTCATAACATTCTAAGATCATTCTCATAACATTCTTTGATGGAAATTTAAATGTTTTCATAAAATATATTACTTAGTAGTAAAATATTAAAGAATTTGCTATCAATAAAATCACTTATAAAAAAACTTATTAAACAAGGTTTTTCAAAATTGTATACTTAAAAAAATTAATTAAGTGTTTTATTTTAGAAATAAATTTTTTATTAAATATACTCATTCAGAATAAGCTCTGGCCTGCGATCCATTCCATGGTCGTTTTGGTTGATAGGCCACCTGTCCATTCTGCTAATGCTTTAATCTTCGATATTAGGGGAGGTCTAAAGCTAAATTTGCAAGAAAAAAATATAAACAAAGGAACCATTCATAATAACCATTTTTTACTTATCAAACCATTTCCGAATATAGATAAGAAGTAAAATAATAAAAGAGAGTTAATAGAAAGTTATTTTTAGTTTGTTAAAAAATTATTTACACCTTAAGTTAAGGTTTTATTTGTGGACATCAAAAGTATAAAATAATCAAATTATCATATTAGTGTAGTATAGACCACTCAAACCAGTATTAGTGAGAAAAGCCACTATGTCTCACCTGTAGATAGCAGCTACTTTGAAATCTCACAAGTGGCTACCAAAATTGTGATGAATTTATCAACTAAAACGAAATAAGTGTCAATATGCTTACGCTTCTACTAGACCATACCTAGAGAAGCATACACAAGGAGAGCATGTTAGCCTGCTTTGCTAATTTGTTTCAAATTCATAGCTTCACTATTTCAATCAAAAACTAAACACAAAACGCTTATAGAAGAATGGAAAGAGCTTTATTAGCAATTGCCTCGTATGTGTGGCTGCTGATGTGAGAAAATACACTCATACTTTCCATATTTTCATTGTGAACAGCCACAAGCAACCATTTTGTGCCTGTCAAACCATTTCAGAATATAGACAGGAAGTAGAACAAAAGAGAAGTAGAGTTCTCTTACAAGAAACTTAGGGAGTATTTTTCCAGATGTCTAATTCTTCCCTTGTCGTAACCTTCACCATCCAAAACCAAAAACAGTGATGTCTCTAGATAGAAAATATTAATGCAACAAACCTCTGCCAATGGAGAAGTTGAAAATTGTTTGCTAGTCCAGCAACAAACCTCTGCCAATGGAGAAGTTGAAAATTGTTTGCTAGTCCAGCAGCTACCAGTCAATATCCTTTCTTCTATGGAGACATACTAGGTATTCTGCAAGATTACTGGGACTTTGCTGCTGTTTAGGGTTCTTTGGATGGCAATCTTCACCTTGATTGCACAACTCTCATGCGCAACTCTCGAGTTCTTAGATGCTGTTTGTTGCCACTTGAAACTGCGTTGTGGATTGTGCATCCACAAGGCTTCAATCCAAAAGGCTGCTAGATAACCTTTGATTTCATTTGTTCCAAGGAAAACGCTGCTGTGAAATTCAAACAAAGTGCAGTAGCAACACACCGAATCCAAGAATGCACTCGCTGCCAAACGATGTAGAAATTAAGGCATCAGAATCACCGTCAAGTTCTAACTCCTAATCATCAAACAGCCCTAACCTCGGAGATTAGGGCATGGGTCGGACGACGAGGCGCGAAGGCAACGTTCACGCAAGTGCCAGGCCAGAGCGCGGGCCTCGGGATCGCAGGCCACCTGGGCTTCCAAAGCGCTGGCTTAGCAGCAGGGACGACCATGGAATGGATGACTCTAGCTTGCGCAGGCGACGCTCGGGAAAGCGCAGGCACGGCGATAGAATGGATGCCTCTAGCTCCCGCAGGCCACGCTCGGGCGAGATGCCGCGTTCCAGGAGCCCCAAGCGCAGGCGCAGCAGCAGGGGCGACGCCTCCCCAAGGCGTCCATGCACGGAGGAGAAGGAGGAGGCCACTGGCTGGGTTCCCATTCCAGGCAAGCTCCACCCCAGCGGACTTGACGAGGTGGAGGCTATGAAGTATGGCTTCTTTCCAGTTCGTAACAGGGCCCCTCCTCTGGACGAGGATGGGAAGACGAGCGACATCTTCGTGTGCGACAAGGCTGCCTACCAGATGCTCAACGATGCTCACCTCCGAGGAACGGAGCTGGGCGCCTGGGTGGCCAAGCGTCTCCGCCTCGGTGCCTTGTTCGTGCACCACAACTACGACCAGGTACCGGGCTGGAGGGTGATTACATTGTTTGGGCGACTCAAGGCGATGCTGCCAACCCGAGGCAAGAAGGTGATTTTCAATGAAGAAGGTTTCTACTTGATCGATAGTATTGATTCTTCTTCTTTGTCCTCGCAGGTTATTCCGGAATGGCTCAAGCTCCATGGCCAGCAGGATGATGCGGAATGTGTGGAGTCGGCTCAGCTGTTTGCAGAAGCAGCCACTGACTTCGACGTAGACGCTAGCTGCTTCAGGATTGTTTTCGTGTGTGGCAACACCAAGTTTGTTGAGCTGCTCAGGAAAGACCACGCTGGTCTACAGCAGCTGTTTGTGGAGCGCCGGGCAGTGGACAGAACCCGTGACGTTCCTTTCAGGGTGTGGCACATAACAAGCCAGAGTTGCTCTCAACTCGAGGAAGAATGCCTCGATGAATCGCTGCAGGACTTCGCGTATCAGAGTGGAGGCTGGGAGTACCTGAGGGGGATCGTCAGAAAATACCACTGATCAGTGCCTGTGGCTTCTCGCGCTCTATAAAGTGGCACCTTGTTAGAGATGAACAAGGAACCAGAATCCTATAATGTATCTAACATCGCGTTTGATATATCCAATATCGTGTTTTATCGCAAAATCCGTAGTTTTTACTTGGCATCGAATTTCAGATGCTGATTATCATATTGCGACGCCAAAAAGAGATGAATATTAAGCAACATAGACATGGACATGGATTGACATTTCTTCTCAGGTGACTCTAAGGTATCTTGCTGTGGATTAGCTGGATTTATTCTTCCTTATCAAGTACCTTCACTTTGGTAATCTTTAAATCATCAGCGAGATGCTGGAGGTGAAAATGGGTGGTAAGGTCAAAACGCGCAAGAAAAAATAGCCACATTCCAGCAACACGAGGAACATCGATTAAAATTTGGTGGATGTGGATAGAACTTTGGGAACTGGCAAGACTTTACAGAAGATGTAGTGTACTAAAGAAGCATTCGCATATGCCAATGGATACAACGTGTGAATTCTAACTAGCTGGAGTGCTTATCCTTAGATTCCCAACAGCTGCAAGCGAATATCCTCTATTTTGTGATATATGGCCGCCAAGAACACTAAACCCTTTGCTTCAGCTGGTCATGCCGCTCGCTGTGATCCAGGCCTCTCCTGGCGGCGGGCGTGGCGTCGATACACTCCACACAGCATTCACCGGCAAATGTATCCCCCAAATCGGCCTCAAGTCGCAGTGTTTCCAGATCTTCTTGGCGAGGAAGGTGCGGCGGCAGCGCTCGATCTCAAATGCCGTGGGCGTGGAGAGCTCCGGCGGCGTGGATCTGAAGCAGCGGCTGGAGAAAATCCGGGCGGAGGAGCCGGCGCCAGCAGGGAATGGGGTCGAAATATCGCAAGAACAAGGCGAGGGCGGGGATCCAGAGGTAGATCGTCCGAGCACAAGATGCGATGGAGCATGCTGCTCAATAGGGAGGCGCTGGAGGACGCTCACATCTCGCGAGCTAGCGGCGTCACCGATGCTCACGTCTTGCGGCGCAAAGGTCGATTGAAGGAGCAAGATGGGCTCATCGAGTTTATCATCTCGCTCCATTCCACGCATTCTCCCATCCAGGTACTCTGGCGAGCAAGAACATAGAAGAGAGAAGAGAAGATATTTCTTTCGATGGACCACACTATTGATTTTTTCTCTTTCGATTGTTTTTTTTTTTTTTCTTTGCGTGGTGTAGGTGATGGAGAAAATGGAGAGATGGATCAAAGAACACAGCGAAGATCCCATGCGTAGCACGCTGAGCAGATTGATTTCTTCCGTCGGGAGGTTCTACACACCTTTGCCTCTCGTCCGAGCATTCCATGAGTACGATGAATTTGCGTCTCTCTCGAGGAGAAGATACGTGCCTCCAAATTTTGCAGAGATTCGTCATGTCATAAACAGCGCACAGGTCGGCAAAGAAACTCTTTCTTCTTTCTTCCCTGCGTTGCTAACAAGAAAACTTTCGTTTCCACAGGTTCATGCCATTGCTGAAAAACTGGCATTGGTAACTTTTGATGCCGATGGTACCATTTACTCCGATGGTCACCACATCGAGCGTGATAACAAGATGATCGCGCACATTATCAAGCTAATGCAACGTGGTATTCTATCCGGGAGATCCTTCAAAATTCGAGGACAGAGACTATTTGATGTCGATCCGATATCCTGCTGGTCTTGCGCAACTATATCCTTAGACTGACGGCATATGTTCTATTTTTCACAGCAAGTTCAAATCATGCCGCCTTTGAGACAGGTATTTTGTTCGTGTCGCATTCAGAGTGAAGGCTGACAATGGATTTGTTACGCTGCTTGCACTCGCTGTGGATTCCATTACTTCTATGCACGTTCCCTCCGTCTGTACGGCAAGCGATATGTTTAAGTGCTAGTGAGCAAGCATCGTTACTTGGAAAATATACAGTGAAGACAGTCTGACTGCTCGTGACAGTGGGTAATGTACTTGAATCTATACAATTGACAGTGCTTAAGTTTTTGATGTACAGAGACAACGTTCTACGTTATGACTGAGCTATGACTGAGTGGGCCTCTTGACAACTGAGCTCATGGAGAGTCTTTTTTAAATGGTGTTTCGCCATCTTCCGTTCCTTGCCACCTGGGGAAAACCAGATGGTGCTGTCAAGACTGGAGCATATGTGAAGGGAGCTGACTCGTGAAGTCTGCAACCTTTTGGCTATAATGGCCTCAGATGAAGAGCAGCACGGGAATTTTTTGGTAAGCACTTTGAAGTTCTTGTGTAACACGGTTTAACAGAAGCCATTCAACTGTGTTCATCTAGGAATCCAATCATTGGAACCAACCAATGTATAATCCAAGAGTCGAACAGCACTGCGCATGCTGAGCTTCTCGGTTTGCTCCAGGAAATCCTAGTGAAACTCTCTCCACACACGTTAACGCCTACCCAGTAAGTCTTTCTCCACCTTTTTCGCTTTCTTGTTTTCGGACAGGTTTCAGCACATAAAGAATCTACTCTTGGCGGCTTGAGGGGACACGGTCTCGTGCAACACTCTCGTCTCAAGCCTGTGTAGATTCGAGCAGCAAGACACGGTGCTCCACCTCTTCAAAGTCATGGACTTGTAAAACAACCTCCGGAGCCGAAAACAAGTTCTGTCCTCCATGCCGGCGTTTACCGCAGCACTGCAGGAAATGCGAGTGTTTGCTGGCGTCTCTGGACCTCTGCTCCTCTCGAACTGGGAAGGCAAGCTTGCAAGATTGCGGACAGGACAAAGATAGCGTTTTCTTTCTCGTTAGCGGCTTCTAGTTAATGTAATCAGCACAGGGCTTCTCTGAGTGATTGCCCAAGCGTATCACATATGTAAATTTTTGTCTCTGTTCTTGTTAGTTGTATTGATCTTTCAGGGGAGGAAAGGCTGTCATCAATCTCTTGAACACTGCCAATGAAGAGAGATCACTGTAAAAAAGTGTGGAATGCAGGCTTGTTCTTGCGATTTATTCGAAGAGCCGTGTCAGCTGTCATGGACGAGTGTAAGATCAATGTCACAAAGAGTGCTGCGGTTTCTTCGATTTAGAAGTTACCTTTCTAGTAGGCTGGGGCAAACCTTCTGCCGTGTCCACGATCAGTCCTATCTACGATGATCTTGTGACCGAGCAAAACCTGCTCATCCATTGTGTTGATCGCTGCTTGAGCTGCTTCATTGTCCTTGTAAATAATATATCCGAAACCGAGAGTAGTCCCAGAAGGCCCGGTGAGGATCTGGGACATGGAGAATGTAGCATTGAAATGGGAGGAAGAAGAGTATACCTGGAGATCTAGAATTGGTCCAAATCGCTCGAATGTCGTCCGGACCGTGGGCTCGACGCTGTCAATCTCCTGGGACATTGGAAGTCCTGCAAGAAAGATGCAAATCATCTTGCTCAAGTTTGGGAACGAAATTTTTGTTCTTCTAGCTCTAGAATCCCTCATTTGTTCTCATCCAAGCATTCAGTTACAAGTCATATTCAAGAATGATTTGATTCTTGAGGACTGATTAGGACACCATCTAAACGAAAGCAAAATTTGAATTTGGAATATCTTAGAATCGTTCAACGTAGAAGAATTTTGAATTGCATGGATGGATCTTCATCTTCCTGATCATTTTTGCTGCCTTGTTTGACTAAATTAACCACTCAGCTGACTCCACCAGTTTGAATTGGAGCTTTTAGATATCAGTCAAATACCCAAATTATATACCTAAATTTCAGATGCTGAATATCACTGTGTGGGGTAATGCGTATTGCGACGCCAAAAAGAAATGAATATTAAGCAACATAGACATGGACATGGATTGACATTTCTTCTCAGGTGACTCTAAGGTATCTTGCTGTGGATTAGCTGGATTTATTCTTCCTTATCAAGTACCTTCACTTTGATAATCTTTAAATCATCAGCGAGATGCTGCCAAGTTTTGGAGGTGAAAATGGGTGGTAAGGTCAAAACGCGCAAGAAAAAATAGCAACATTCCAGCAACACGAGGAAATCGCAGAAAGGTATGAAAAATTTTCAATGTAGAGAGTGTTCATCGATTAAAATTTGGTGGATGTGGATAGAACTTTGGGAACTGGCAAGACTTTACAAAAGATGTAGTGTACTAAAGAAGCATTCGCATATGCCAATGGATACAACGTGTGAATTCTATCTCCCCCACTAGCTGGAGTGCTTATCCTTAGATTCCCAACAGCTGCAAGCGAATATTCTCTATTTGTGATATATGGCCGCCAAGAACCCTAAACCCTTTGCTCATGGCGCTCGCTGTGATCCAGGCCTCTCCCGGCGGCGGGCGCGGCGTCGATACACTCCACACAGCATTCACCGGCAAATGTATCCCCAGAATCGGCCTCAAATCGCAGTGTTTCCAGATCTTCTTGGCGAGGAAGCGGCGGCGGCAGCGCTGCTCGGTGTGCTCGATCTCAAATGCCGTGGGCGTGGAGAGCTCCGGCGGCGTGGATCTGAAGCAGCGGCTGGAGAAAATCCGGGCGGAGGAGCCGGCGCCAGCAGGGAATGGGGTCGAAATATCGCAAGAACAAGGCGAGGGCGGGGATCCAGAGGTGAGATCGTCCGAGCACAAGATGCGATGGAGCATGCTGCTCAGTAGGGAGGTGCTGGAGGACGCTCACGTCTCGCGAGCTAGCAGCGTCACCGATGCTCACGTCTTGCGGCGCAAAGGTCGATGAAGGAGCAAGATGGGCTCATCGAGTTTATCATCTCGCTCCATTCCACGCATTCTCCCATCCAGGTACTCTGGCGAGAAGATATTTCTTTCGATGGACCACACCATTGATTTTTTCTCTTTCGATTGTTTTTTTTTTTTCTTTGCGTGGTGTAGGTGATGGAGAAAATGGAGAGATGGATCAAAGAACACAGCGAAGATCCCATGCGTAGCACGCTGAGCAGATTGATTCCTTCCGTCGGGAGGTTCTACACACCTTTGCCTCTCGTCCGAGCTTTCCATGAGTACGATGAATTTGCGTCTCTCTCGAGGAGAAGATACGTGCCTCCAAACTTTGCAGAGATTCGTCATGTCATAAACATCGCACAGGTCGGCAAAGAAACTCTTTCTTCTTTCTTCCCTGCGTTAAACTTTCGTTTCCACAGGTTCATGCTATTGCTGAAAAACTGGCACTGGTAACTTTTGATGCCGATGGTACCATTTACTCCGATGGTCACCACATCGAGCGCGATAACAAGATGATCGCGCACATTATCAAGCTAATGCAACGTGGTATTCACGTTGCGATTCTCACAGCAGCTGGTATGGTGAAGTTCTTTCGATAAAAAGAACTTGTATTTACTACGTTGTGCGTGCAGGCTATCCGGGAGATCCTACAAAATTCGAGGACCGATTTTCTGGACTGCTTTCAGCCTTCGAAGAGCTTGAGCTTGCTTCCAGAGTCACCAGGTACTTTCACGTCATGGGAGGAGAATGCAACTATCTCCTCCGGGTGAACAACAAGTACCGGCTCGAGTTTGTCCCAGACGACATGTGGAAGTCGAAAGATATGCTAGAGTGGTCGGAAGAGGGAATCGAAGAACTCCTTGATGAAGCCCAAGGCGCTCTCCAGTCGGCCTCCGCACGCTTGAATTTGCCAGTTCATTTTGTGCGGAAGCCAAGGGCCGTCGGAGTCATCCCCAAAGTCTCGACGATTTACGAGGTAGGCAAAGCTTTTTGTTGTTGCTGATTCACTCCTGTTTTCTCAGGTTCTGGAGGAGATGGCTTTGACTGTTCAAGTCCATCTGGTGGAGTCCAAGCTACCGTTTTGTGCTTTTAACGGAGGCAGTGGTATGTAAAGTTTTTTGACAGTTTTTTCCTGTGCTCTAAACGTTTCCTCGTTTCTTGTTTTTTGCCGAATGCAGATGTCTTTGTGGATGTTGGTAAGTTTTCACATTCTTGCTATTCCCTGATTTCCGTTTTAACTTCGATGTCTTTGATCATATAGGAAACAAGTCGATCGGGCTTGGAGCTTTGATGAAGTACCTTGGAAAGAAGCCTTACGAGACACTCCACGTTGGGGACCGATTTACAGTCAGTGGAAACGACTCGGCAGCTCGATCCAGATGCGCGGTCCTGTAAGTATAAAGAAATCTTCTTCATTCGTCATTTCTGACACTGGGATGGGATAGATGGGTGGCCAATCCAGAAGAAACGGGATTCTTTGCGAGGCTTCTTCACAACGATATCAGACTGGCGCAGCTCACGCTTTACATCGAATGAAGAGGAGAGCTCACAGGTGCTGTACAAATATGTATAGAAACCAGTAGTAACTAATCAAGAAGAATCATGAAACCAAGAACGTTCTCTCCGAAAATTTGAGCCATTTAAGCAAGAGTGCCAAGATCATATGATACTAACATGTTTATGATCTATATTTCTGAAACACCAACTAAATATCAAGTCTTTGCTAAATTTAATTTCTTTTAGAAAAGCAGGTTTTTTGTTTTTTGAAAGCTCCCCATCGTTGAAACTTTGAAAGTCAACAATAATACATGTTTTGACTTTGGAGACATAAGACCACTTTGAGTAGATTGTAATTACTGATATACTTTCCCTCACTGCCCTGAGCTCCTCCAATAACAATTTAAAAATAATCAACATGGAGAAGATACCCTATGAGATAGAAAATATGATGCATTCATTTATAATAAAATGTAACTTTTAAACATGTTTATGGTTTAAGGATTATTATATAATAAATTTAAATGTTTTAGAGCGAAGTCTTTTTCTCAGGTTTATAATTTTGTTTTACCTTTATATGAATGCAAAGCAAGAACAAATCTTGAGCACTCAGTTTCCCTCTAATGTTCATCCTCTCCATTCTATTAACCATGCAACCTCTTGAAGGCTCTTGAAAGAATCTTGATCACTCAACAAAGCCGTATGGTCCACTTTATCTTGCTGATATTGTGGGCATCTATAAAGAATATGAAAGACTTGTCCAAGATTTATGAATCACTCAGCAAAGCCGGATGATCTCTTTATCTTGCTGATATTGTGGGCATCTATAAAGAATATGGAAAACATCTTTTACTTGTCCAAGGTCACACAAGTATAAAGTTTGATGAAAGTTGAACTGTCCCATTACATAAGCACCTTTGGGATGTAACAGTTGAGAGATAGAAGATGTTCTAGCTGAAAGATTATCCAAAGTTTGATTTGCCTTTGTATCATTCCCTTTGAATGCCATCCTGATTTTACTAGGATATCCAAAGTTACTGATGCATGGGCTATTAAAAGGTTAAGTATCAGTACAGCCCAATGAGAAGGGAGCAATAACAGCCTTTTCCCCTCTTGCTCGCTGACCAGTCTCAGAAATTTCATCTAGAACAAAAAGACTCCATTTACGCTTTGATGTAAACTCCACAAAGGCTGCTTATATTCTGCTTGAAATTGTTGAGGGAAGCTATGTCTTGAGTGAAAAAGAGAAGCAAAAGAATCCTAGATATGCCATGTTTGAGGACGTGATGTTGAGCATTCAAAGTCTCATGGATCCCCCACTGTTTGCTCGCTACATGATTTGCTTGAGAAACTATCTGGATGCTTTGGTGGAGGACTCCTCTTTGCGATTTGCCAAATCCATTCCAAGCCTCACTAAACACCAGCTGCTCCGGAAGCAGTTGGAGGCATTATATGTGAGTTTTGCCTGGATCTCAAGAGTGTGGTTGAATCCCCAGACTTTGTAGCCTTTGTCAAAGCAGTGATTGATCACACCGTCCTTGTCAATGATCTCCTTTCCTTCCTAAATAAACGACCAGAGAGACAAGCACTACAGCTATCTCTGTGTCATCTTTTGTCACGATAATGCAAGCTTTCAGGGGACCGTGGACAAAGCATGTGAAATGATCCAGGAGACCGAAGGTGAGATCTTGCAACTCCAAAAGAAGCTGATGAAGCTGGGAGAGGAAACTGGGAACAAAGATCTGGTGGAGTACGCAAGGTACCCTTGTGTTGCATCTAGAAACCTTCGCTGGTCGTATGTCACACGAACCAGCAGTCGTGAACCATTCCATGCGACCTGGTTTCTACTTCCAGAAGTCACCCTCATCGTGCCATTCGGATCCAAATGCGGTGATCATCCATTTGCCATCACAGAAAATCATTTGGTTTGATCTAAGTATAATAAACCGTCCATGTGGTAGGAAGTCCGTTTAATGTGTGCTGAATTGCGAATCTTATATTACTAAGGCTGGAAATATTATATACTAGCAGCATATCAGCACGAGAAAAGTATGCAACAAGATTCTCACTTGCAAGGATCCAAAAGATCCTGACAAGACTCAACCAAGTGGAGAGGAACTTTGGCACAGAGCTGTGGTGTCATCGTGATCCGGATCTCGAAGGGCATGGAGCACTACTACCTGATTAGGGTAAGGGTTTACAATTAAAGGTAATGGCCATGTTTGCAAAGCGTAGTTTTCATGATCTTGAGCCTCAGACGGGTCTCAAATTCTTAATTCCCTCACTCGGAGAGGACAATACGCTGAAAGATCGATTGAGAGAGGAGATTCAAATATGCAATATCGAGATTGAGAGGCTGGAGATAGAGGAGAAGATTCTGAGGATTAACGAAAGGATTCAACAGTTGGAGAATCCCCGGGAGGAGGATTTGGAGGGAACAATGAGCTTGATGGAGCATGTTTGGTGGATTGGTCTCATAATCTTAGTAGTTCTATAGTTTAGAAATTACAAAATCAATCCAATTGTCAGACCAAAGCTCGTTTTCGATACAGTGGACTCCTGTCCAGCAGTCAAAGGTAAATCATACTAAAATTTAGTAGAGAAACCTATAAATCGAGTAAAGGGCGAATATCCTCAGCATTGTGAGTTTAGGGTTTTGGAAAAATGGAGGGAGGAGGAGAGGACGATGACTACATGGCAGATCTGGGCTGCTTCTTGGATCCAAAGCACCTCCAGGATGGGAAGAAGAAGGCGCCAATCCCAGCGGTGAGTAGATATTTGCCTGTGCTAGCGATTTTCTTGAGTTGTTCTGTGCGTTCTTCCTTAGCCTAATGCATTCTCCTTTTGTGAAAGCATGCTAGCAAACTGTGAGAGATTTTGTTCGTTTTTCTTTGGTTGTTTATGCTGGCTTCGATGTTTTGTTTGTTCATTTGGGCTACGGTCTCCTTTCGATCCTGGTTTTGTTGTTTCTCCACTTTGTAATTCCTCGCTTGTTTTCTGGTGGCTGCAACGCAGCTTTTTTAAAAAATTCTTCTTGCTTGTGGTTGGATTTTGCTACCTTGTCGATGTTCCTCGTTGCGTGGCGTGCCAACCATGACACTAAACTTTAGAGTTTTGTTTTACTTCTCAGGCAAGCAGCCAGACGAAGGAAAGCAAGGGAAAGCTGCACTGGAAAGACAAACGTAAAGAGTCCCGCGAGCGAGCGAAAAAGTCCGAGCAAGCCCAGCTCACGGAGGGATTAAACACGGCGATACCATCCTCCAACATCGGTTTTAAGCTCCTCCAGCAGATGGGATACAAGCCCGGTGGAGCTCTCGGCAAGCACGGACAAGGAGCTCTGGAGCCACTCAAGGTTGATGTCAAACACTCCCGGACGGGACTCGGGGTTGACGAGAGGGAGCGACGATTCAAAGCGAGAGCAGCGAAGCAACAAGAGATCCAGCGGGACTTGAAAAGGAAGATCGATGACGTGAGTCGCAGAGATTTCCAGGATCGCCAAAGGAGTTCTTGGCAGGCTGGAAAGATAAGTCGTGACTACAAAAAGGCGGCCTCGGCACTGGCTCAACTCGAGGAGCTTGCTGGAATTTCGCGAGGAGAAGTCAAGAGAGAAGATGACAATGGAGACGACGACAAAGAGGAGGAGGAAGACGAGGTTGTGGTGACAGAAGAGGTACTTAGTGCTCGCTTTCTTTTCGTTTTCTTGGCTTGGTTTCTTTTTTGTGGAGATCGTGCTTAACTTGTTTGTGTGCTCGGCAGGACTTGATGAGAATTGTAGAGGACTTGCGGAGGCGATTTTTCTATTGCGTCTACTGTGGATGCAAGGTAATGCTTAGACGTGGATCAGTCAGGAATTGTTTTAGAATTAATTTTCTTAAAGGACAGAAACGAAAGATTATGTCGGATGCTAACATCACAAGTTGCACGTTATTGCAGTATGATTCCGCAGAGGAAATGGAGGGCTCGTGTCCGGGGCTTGACGAAGATGCTCACTAGCGACATGGTCGCAGCCACTTTTAGTTTTTGCTCTCTGGCAGCACACTTGGTACGGTAAACATGGCAGCACTGAAACATGCCACTTCTCGTTTTTTTTTCTTTGTTTTTCTTTTTTGATTGCGTGGGCTTCTTAAGTTGGTAGTCTTTCTTAATTCGAAGAACACTCACTAGAGGCTTGCTTTTTTTTTTTTGTGGTACAGATTGTCAAAAGGCGAGAGACATGCCATCGACCGATGCCCCCACCAGGCCGACGCTGATGCAAACAACAGTAAAGCTAGCATTACGCCAAAGCAAAATAGAAGAAGAAGAAGGATTGAGAATCTTCGCAGAGACTCCAAATTTTGCTGATGGAGAGTTCCATCGATCAATCACAAACAGAGAAAAGAATGCAAGCCTTTTTGGTGGGTCTTCTTCTTTCCTTCGTGAAGCTCTTACTGGGTATGCGTTTTGTGTGTGATGTTTCACCCACCAGGAAGGAGGAGCTCGCCAAAGGAACAGAAAAGATTCGTTGGATCTACGCCAAGTGTCGGTGCTTGCTATCCTTGAGTCACACGTCGGCCATGGCAGCAAAGCTTTGTTTTTTTCTTCGTGATAGGAGATTTTACGATCCCGGGACGCGACTGTAGTGTACGTGGAGTTTTTACTTCCTCGACTTCCAAGGTAGAGCCTTTGCATATTATTTCTTTGTTCGTGGACGTCACTTCTCTACAGTTTTTTACAGTTCCCAGGTTTATGATTCTTGGTAAAGGCTGCAGTGGCTCTGTACGCTGTGTTCGTAGACGAGTCAGAGTCGGGAGACAAAGATCGGTGATGCTTTGATCGATCGATCGCTCGCGCTGGCCTGGTGACTTTTACCACGTAAGAGATTTCCAGCATTCATTCACTTGTCTTGCTTTGGGCTTGTAGCCACCAATCGCGAGTTCTTTTTGCTTTTTTTTTTGGCTCTCTAGAGCCCAGGCTTTCGGGTCACGAGACGCTTAAAAAAATGGTGGAAAGAGAAAGAGACTCGTGGAAGAAAGAAGTGATGTCTTGCGAGAAATTAGAAACCCAGAACCTTGAGAATGTCTAAAAACACGCATGGAAAATTTTTTCGTGGAGGTTTGATTGAACGATTGGTCATATGATTTGGTTTGTATAGAACGGACAATGGAAATATTTCGTGGCGATCTCGACCGTCGAATAATTGCTCGCCTGGACGGTTGAGATGTATCCCACGCACCGACATTTACGGTGCACGTGGAGAATTACCCCGCCCTGTCGGATTGCTGCAGTTGGATCTTCGTCCAGGTGGCACTCATGTGAGCCGTTGGATTTTCAAACGGACGGCTGCGATGTGGCTCCCTGTCCCGGCTATGGCAGGGAGTGGAGTAATTAGGGATATAGAGAGAAATGGCGGGCAGCTGTGGCGGCTATGGCGCTAGGGTTCTTGGCGAGCTCGGCTATGGCGGAGTGAGAGAGAGTCGCAGTGGCGATCGCGGCGATGTCCGCGAGCAGTCGCCGTTGCTGGTGAGCTTTATTGCGAGTGAAAGCGACGGATCTCCCACTGGGCCCCGTTTGCCCGCTAGGGTTTGGTCGCGAGCGACGAGTGTAAAGCAGGGGGAGCGACGGATTCCATCGCGGAGCTCCGAAATGTGGCTCCAATTCCGGGCTGGATGAGAGCGTCACTGGGGCGCTGGAGCCAGCAGCAGATTTCTTGGCGCCAGATCTAGGAGAGCAGCATACAGCGTAGATGAGGGAATCCAAGAAGAAAGGGTATGCTGAAATGCGGGCGATGGCGCGGCCGGGAGCTCCAGCCGAGAAGATCGATTGGGAGATGCGGCCGGGTGGAATGCTGGTCCAGAAGAGGGACGAGACCGCCGAGCAGAGCATGTCCGGGGCGACGATTCGTGTCAAGGTTTCTCATGGGGCAGTGTATCACGAGGTCACGATCTCTCCATACGCGACTTTTGGTAAGTTCTTGTTCTTGGTTTGGTTTTTTCTTTCTTTGCTTTGTGGGTGTTCTTAGATCTGTGTGGTGTCGCCCAGCTCAATTGCTGATAGATTCGTGGTGGTGTTTCAGGTGATTTGAAGAAATTGCTCGTCCAGCCGACTGGGTTGCAAGCCCGGGAGCAAAGGATCCTTTACAGAGGGAAGGAGAAGGACAGTGGCGATTACTTGCATCTAGTTGGAGTGAAGGACAAGGCGAAAGTAGTGCTCATCGAGGATCCCGAGAGTCGCGAGAGGAAGCAAGAGGAGTCCCGACACAACGAACGAATCTTGAGGACCTCCAAAGCTGTGTCGGCCATTAAGTCTGAGGTCGATAAGCTTGCTGAAAGGGTACTACTCCTCTCTTTTCTTGTTTTCTTTGCTTAGCGTTTCTCTCCGGCTTATGTGTTTCTTCTCTCTCGGATTTGCAGGTTTTGACGGTAGAGAACGATGTTCACAGACGAGTCGAGGTCCCCGAGTCGGAATTCGACTCGCTAACCGAGGCCCTGATGATGCTGCTGCTGAAGCTGGATGGGATCGAAGCTTTTGGTGACGCTAAAGCCCAAAGAAGGATTCAGGTAAAACCTTGGATCTGGATTCCTGATGCGAGTGCTTGACTTCTCTGCTTGTTTCTTTGTCTCGAAGGTCAGGAGAGTCCAAAAATTTGTGGAAGCCCTCGACGCGTTGAAAATGAAGAACTCGTCTCCTCCAAGTGTTGCAGCCAAGGAGCAAAGCCCCGCGAAAAACTCGTCCAGTAGCAGCAACGCGGCCGCCATTGTTGTCACGACCCAGTGGGAAACCTTTGAAACATCGGCAGGGAATTTCATCTCCACACCTCCAAAACCGGCTACCACAGCAATTGAGACCGATTGGGAGAGGTTTGTACGAGTTTTCGAGATTTCTTTGCCATAGTTCTAACGATTCTTCTGGGTTTTTTCTCGTTCCAGAGCGCTCTTCACATAGAAGGTAGTGAAGTTTTATTGGTGGCGTGGTCATTCAAGGCTCGATCATATATAGAGATCAATCTTTTCGTGATTGTCGAATTGGTGCAAGCAAGGAGAGGAAGAAGGAAGAAGAAAGAAGAAGAAAAAATTGGAGCTTGTAGAAAGAATGGAAAAGCTATGGTAAGGAGGAGGCGCAATTCTTTGTATAGTATCATAAAACATTTGTTTTTGCGGAATGGGGTTGTGTGTGGTAATAAAAAAGAAGCGCGAATGTTTTGGATTTGAAAAGATTCTTTAAGCTTTTGAGAATCTTCCTCTGGCTATGGCGGATTAGGGCTTAGGGTTTTAGGTAGGTGTTGGAGAAGAAATGGTGCCCGCGTGACAGCGCGGTCGAGATCATGGCGAATGCCGGGATCAGGAATACACTGCTGCTAGCGTCGGCGATTCTGTTCTTGTTCTTGGGATTGCTGCCCGCGCGTGGAGGAAGGCCTCACATCAGCAATCTCAATGTTCTTCTTCCGCCGAGGACGACGACTCCAGTGCGCTATCGGCTCCAGGGAACCGATGGCTGCTTCGTTTGGTGAGCTGAGCGGCATTCTTGTGGAACAGTAGAGATATTTGGATTGATCGATCGTGTTCTTCGGACAGGACTTGGGATCATCACGACATTATCTCGCTTGTTCCAGAGTACAACGGCACGTCCAGCGATTGCTCGACCAGCGCTTTGATCACGCCGCTTTCTCCATTCGAGGAGAGGCAAGCGACGGCGGTCCATGCCACCGACACTGTCACGGGGGAAATTCTGCGCTGCGAGGTCTTCATCGATAAGATCTCTCGGATACAAATATTTCATCACTCCGTGAAACTCGATCTCGATGGATGGGCGACGCTGCGCATTCGTGCTTTCGATGCCGAAGGTAAACGATTGGTGTTTTAGTTTGTGATCGATTGAGCGGTTCCTGTCTTCTTTCCAGAGAATGTGTTTTCATCGCTGGTGGGATTGAAATTCGCGTGGCAGCTATCTTCGTTTGATCCTGCTGGTGAAACGCTTCCTCAAAAATTACTACACGTTCCTCTCAAAGACAGTCCTTTGAGCGACTGCGGCTGTATGTGCGGAGACCTTGGTACTCAAATAGAGTTGGAGGACCAGGTAGACATCCATTCGATTCGCTGAAAAGAATTCATCTTTCTGTGTGTGCCTGTGCTTCAGGGGTTTGGATCTGATTTATACGTTGTCCGAGGAGTGAGTACTGGACAGGAGAGAGTAAAAGCCAGGCTAGTGGAACCGAGAATGGAAGAGCTGGATGATACATTGGTCTTGACTGTTGCCGAGGCGATCTCTCTGGAGCCGCACTCTCCTCTGTATATTATTCCGGGAACGAGCTTTCGGTTCAAGTTGAAGGCTATGCGTAAAAACGTCTTATCAGGTATACATGTTTCTCTGTTTTCACGGACTTCTGTTTGAACTCACGTGTTTGTGCGACCATGCAGAGATTCCATTGCCTTCTGTATATCACAAGTGGTCTGTTACAAACGAGGCTGTCGCTTCGGTTGACCAACACAGCGCTCTTATTGCTGCAAAAGTTGTGGGCGTAACGAATGTTATCGTGGAAGACGTCAGAGTGAAAGGGCATCAACAAATGGCTACTGTGCATGTTGTCATTCCCACAAGACTAGAACTTCACCTCCTACCCCTTTACAAAAAGGAAGCGCATTCTCGCAAGCTGGATGTAGAAGGCAGGGTATCAGGGGAAACTTGGTACATCGTGTCTGGCAGGGAGTACGTGGTTAATGTTCGGGCGTTTGCTCTCGACTCCGCTCGCGCTCTTTACCTGACGCAGGTCTTTTCCTTCTTCGTTATTGTTTATTTGCTAACTTTTGTATGCGACAGAGTAACGATTTGAGACTTCTTTTCACGTACCTGCCGTACTGGGAAGCTGTTGAAGTTCCCGAAGATGTTTCATCCGAACATGGATGGCAAAATGCGACGTTGCTGAAAGCTAATACTGAGGGCGCTGGAACTATAGTGGCTAAACTTGTCTACAACGTTGATTCTGATGTGAAGGTGCTTTGTATTGTTGTATTACTTTTCTTGGCTCAATCGTGCAATTTGATGCAGTTGCTAAAGCTTGAGCAAGCAGTTGTTGTGTGCCCCCCTGTTTTAATAGCTCTGGAGCGTGCAACAAGTGTCCGCGCTGTATTTCTTCCTTGGAGCCCAGGATCTTCGCAGGAGTACCAGTTAAAAGCTGAAGGAGGTTCAGTTTTAGAAAAATTTGGTAACTTATATCTGCTAACTGATTGCTTTTGGCTTTATTTTTCTCCTCTTCTAGGCTGCGGAGATATATCTAGCGATTACGTATGGTCCTCAACGAATCCAAGCGTCGCAACTGTGAATGCACTTGGAAAAATTTTGAGCAAAGGACCCGGGAAAACAGTAATTCGCGCGTCGTCGGCAAAAGACTTGCTAAACGTTGATGAGGTAATAGTGGTCCTGGTTACTGATAAGAACCTACAACTGCTCTTATCTTTTTCAGATCCACGTGGAGGTGTCTGTTCCATCATCCATCACTGTTGTTCATGGTCTTCCTGTTGAAGTCGAGATAAACACCATTCTTCCAGTCGCCGTGAGCTTGACAACGCCGGCTGGTAAGCTTCTCCTTTTTCTTTGTCATTAAACATTAACCTCGCCAAACAGGTCACGCTTACTCCAGATGTGACGTCTATAATAGTTTTGTGCAATGGGACCTTTTCGGTGTGGACGGCAACTTCAAGTTTGTGGATTCATCGGGTCCATTTACATTATCGGACATCTCATCTTATTTAAGGCCGGAAGAAAGCTCCTCTCAAGTTGTATGTGCATGGAACGCAATCTTGCCATTGCGACCAGGCAGGGCAACCGTCACGGGATCCTTGAAAGTTTCAACTGTCGAGGCAGCAGCCGCTTTGGAAACGTCTTGGGCGATAGCTTCGTACGCTCCTCTAGCTCTACAACAGGTCTCGGATGGAAATTCTTGCGGTGGATACAGCTGTAGCGACACTTCCGGTCAAAGTACATGTCACAATTTGAAGGAGCTGCTACTTGTTGTGGGGAGTGGCATCAAGGTCATGCTAGTAGGTGGCCCCGAACGCTGGAGGCAGGAATCACAATTTTTAGAGTTCCACGAAATCGTTTCTTCCGAAGCCGGAGGGAAAGCGTCAGAGGAAGTTCTCGTCACTCGCTCAACGGATGGTGGCGGACGAGTCTTCTTCGTTGGCTGTTCCGACTTCGGCAATTACGTAAGAACCTTTTTTTGTTATTACGATGCTTGCAAACTAATTTGTTTTTCTGCATTTAGACGCTCATATTTCGTCGTGGCTACCAAGATCTTGAAGGACCAGTGAACGTTGTGGCCAGTTCTAGTTTACTGGTTGTTTGTGACGTTCCTAGCTCAATCGTTCTCATTATTGACGAGTCAGGTATGCCAACTGTTGTAGATCACTTTAGCTGACTTTCATGCGTTGACACAGATAATAGTCAGCATATTATCAAGTCAGTAGTTCAGTTGGAGCGTGATCAGGAAAGAAAGCGTTTGCTGCCAGTTACGGTATTAAACAGTCGCTCTATTCGAGTTGCCGCACTGGGTCTTCACAGTTCTGGAAGGCCATTTGCGAACACATCGTCAATGGCTCTTTCCTGGCATTTGGACGAGTGCGATGCTCTCGCATACTGGGATGATCTCGACATGCCTCCGGACAGATGGGAGAGGACCCTTGGCCTCCAAAATACCGTGGGACTGGTAAGATACAAGTTTAAGAAATCATATTCACGTATTCACTATTCCGTTTGTAGTGTGCAGTAAGAGCGACTTTGACACATCTGAAACAGTCAAAACTACCAGTGTTAACAGTTGTTGCGGCAGCTAGTTTGCTAAAGCAAGCCAAGCCGTTCTTGCATGACGCTGCTCAATTACAACTCGTTGCAGCACTAAGGCTGGAGCCAAAGGAGACTTTACTTTTTGGCCACCCAGACGCCAAGGTGAGTTTTCGTGGTATGGTTTTTAAACGGCTAATTGGTCTGATAGGCGACCTTGCAAGTTCTCGGAGGCACGAACGATATTGAGTCACACGTTAATGACTCTAGAATAGCCGTCGTTATTCATCCACCGACTGGACCTCGTGTATCACACCTCGTAGTTGCTGCAAGAGCCATGGGAATTGCAGTTGTTTCTATACTTGACGTTGGTTTGGCTAGTCCTGCTTCAGCAAATGCTTTGGTATGTTTTCAGCTTTTACAGCATCCGCTTCAAACTTATTAACCCTTTCCAGGTGCACGTAGTTGACATATCGTGGATCAAAGTTGTACCCGACGTTGTAACCATGGAGGTGAAAGGCGTTACTTTTGTTTACTTTTTACTGAAGGAGTTTGTTGCAGTTGGGAACAATGTTGGAGGTTCACCTGCAAGTAGGGGATAGTACTGGGCGTACCTTTGATCCATCACAGGTATTTTACTGTGAAGTTTTCCTCATTTGTAACGTAATTTATTTCATTTGCAGTTTGTGCTTTTTAACATCCATGTCCACCTTCAAGACGAAATTATTAGCCTTGTAAACCAGACGTCAACTCGAGTACCGGGAAATTCCTTTTACATTCAGGGTGCCGACATTGGTTTCAGCAGTTTCCACGTATGTTGTCGCCATTGCAAACCGTTTGACTGACAAGATTCTAATACAGGTTACTGCTCAAAAAGCTACCGGTCGTGAAATACATAGTACCGTTGTTAAGGCTGAGGTGTATGCTCCACTGAAAGTTATTCCATCGCCATTACTAATGGCACCTGGGGCACAGTTCATGGTAAGTGATTATTAAAATGTAGAAAAATGTTGATTTTTGTACTGTTTCAGCTTGTTGTTCATGGAGGCCCAAGGACTGGAAAAGTTGTTGAGTTTTCCAGCTCGGAGTCTTTAATTGCTGTTGTGGATCGCAATTCAGGACTGGTCACGGCAAAATCGGCTGGGAATGAGGTTTGTCAGTAGTCACGGAATTTCTCATGAAACCTTATCATTTTGCAGGTTATTTTAGCAAGAGCATTTGATAACGACGGGAATTTGCTTGGTGAAGCCTTTACTGAGATAACAGTGGCTATACCTGTTTCAATGTATTTGGAGGTTAGAGGAGGGCAGCTTGGAACGGGAAGGGAAATGTCGATTTATCCTTTCTCTAACGAGGTAATACGCTGTTTTCGTTTTGTTTCTTTTTTCTTTTTTCTTTTTTCTTTTCTTTTTTATTTTGTAAAACATGTCTGATAAGTTCCGCAGGGAAATCTTTTCTCTTTCTTTGAGATGTGTACAAACTATGAATGGCTCGTTGCGGACGAGGAGGTAAACACTTTCACAATTTATTTGCGTTTACTGGTTAAGCGTTTTAGGTTCTGCAACTGGAAAGCGTAAAGCCGGCTAGTTCAGGTCATACTCAGAAGCTTCCTGATGGAGGTAGCGAATCCACCTGCCTAGTTGATGCAGGTTTCTCTGCAAGAGTTTTTGGAAAGTCAGTTCATTTTTATGCTGTTTGAAAAATACTGACAACTTTATGTGTTTCAGATCTGCTGGTATGACCACTGTTTCTGTGAGCTTTATTTGTCAATTCCATACCCTGGGCGGGCATTCGGTTCCCAAAAATTATTCAGCATCAGGATCGATCTCTGTGATCCCCGATCCTCCATTGGCACTTGGAATGCTGGCGACCTGGGTACTTCCCCCAGGCCACAGATCTTCAAAATTACTGCCTCAGCGGGTGGTAGATGGATTGACAACTCGAGCGATTACATATACTCTGATGCATGTACGTCTCTATTTCGACTTCTTTTCAAGCCTCAGCGTTGTTGATATCTTTCTCAGGACGGAGTTGCCGGCAGCGAAATATTCACTATTGACGATGGACGTATCAACACAGCTGACAGGATGGATGTTGCCTGTATACATGCGAAAGACAGAGATGCTGGCCGATCCGAGATTGCTGTGTGTGTCAGAGTTGCAGAGGTACATTATCAGATCCTTTCTTTCTTGCACGTAATGAACGCTTTGTTTAAACAGGTGGCACAAATGACTGTTGGGGACAGAGTTCATGTTTCCGAACTTTCTGTCGGAACACAACATACTTTTATTGTTAATTTGCGCGACAATATAGGTGCTGAAATTTCGATCATCGAAAGGCGACACTAAAAAAATTGTGCCTCCAGGAACACCGTTTTTCGAAGTAGATTTGGAGTCTTTGCCGCTGTCCCTAGAGACGAACCGTGCTGATGTGGTTTCTTTGAAGGCCACAAAGCTTGAAGCTTCTGGTGGTTCGACGACTGTAGCGATTGTTGTGCAGGTATTGCTTCTCTTGAGTTTCTATCATTATTATATTTCTTTCTCATAGGCCTTGCGGCAAGGTAAAGCATTAATCCGTATATCTCAAAAGCAGAAAGTCGACATTGCCGATTACATCCTGGTACAGTAGCATGTGATAGTATTTTTCAGTTTTAACAAAGTTTCTCCAGGTTTTTGTGGGTGCATATGTCTATCCACGTAATCCAGTTATGCGTATTGGAGATCGTGTAAACTTTTCCATTGCTGGGAAAGGTAACGCGTGTATTTGCCCATAATGTTCTTACTTTCGTCTACACAGGCTTTCTATCATCTGGTGTTTCTTCACTGGACCGCGGCCAATGGTCTAGTGGAAACGAGCATATTGTTCTTGTGAACAGTCGCACAGGGGAAGCCGAGGCTCTCTCGGAAGGCTCTACTGTTGGTAAGGATGTTTTGGTCTTAACTCGCTGGGAGTAATCTTTATTTCCTTTTTTTTCTGCAGTAAGCTTCAACGGCTCACGTTTGACAGCATACACATCTCTAAGTGTGGTGGGCATATCCACTGTCACTGTTGAAGCTCCATCATTTCCATTCGTCACCAATGCTCCTTTCCCTGACCAAGGCTACAAATTTACTGTCAAATTCAAGTACGTTGGCTTCTTACAGTTGATCTATTAACGTTTTGTGCTGTTACTCAGAGATACGCATGGAGACGATGTCGGTGTGATCGGCGAAAGTAGACCTATTTCTTATGATTGCAAAGTCGATCCATCGTTCATTGGGTAAGAATTACCTTGGCGTTACCTGTTGTAAACACTGTTTTTTTACAGGCGTGCAGCTCCGTGGCATGATCCAGATTCAGGCACGTTCTACTGTTTGTTTTTCCCCTACGCGCCAGAGAAACTTTCATATAACTTGCACCAAGAACTGAAATCAAAGAGAGCTACTAGAGACCGGGGTGATGCAAAAGGACGGATAGGCATGTCAGTAACAGCAGTGCTTTCTCGAACGCCAAGCGTTGCTGGGTCTGCTGATTGTACCTTCGCTGGAGGATTTTCTATAATCGACACACCTTCACAGGTATGCAGTTGCTCCATTCGGCACTCGATGTGATGCGTTCTTTTCTTCTTCTTAGCTTCAATTGTCCGTCACGTCGAACAAGAGCAGGATAGCCGTGGTGGGAACCGTAGGTACGTATCCTTGTGGTAGTACCGGCTTGGTTTGATCGCTTTGATTCTCAGGAGCGATTGCCGTTTCATGGCAACGTAAGGATGCAGTTGAGGTGAAAAGGCTCACCAGGACAGAAGAGCCGGGTGTTTGCGGCCATGCGGTTTACGAGGTATGTGCAGGATATTTGGCATTTGGACACGGGAACGTACAACGCTGTTGCTTATTCAGGTGCTGCTGCTCGAGGAAGACAAGAGTTTCACAGACAAGTTGGTCTTTTTGCTGACTACTACGGGTAAGCATTTACATCGTGGTGAACTTGTGTGAGATCTTACAAAGTCCGTTGTCTATCATACAGGCCAGCGCGAAGAGATTTCGATGGCTTACGATGCCGGGCAATTTAACGTGGCAGCGCTGTCCCAGCAGATCTTCACGGTGGCGGTCATAACTCTGGTGGCGATCGTCCTCCCCGTGTTCCTGTGCACCAAACTCCTGGACCTCCCGCGATCTCTCCGAAGCTCGCCGGCGACGCCATCGCCAACGCGAAGGCGGCCGCTGGTCGCGCAAGTCGTCCAGGACGACGGTGCCTCGGGAGTACTGGTGAATGGAGCCGTGGACGACACCATCCAAACTCCCGTCCAATACAGAACGTATAGCAGGACTCCGCCGCAGCCTTACACGGAGTACGTGAGTAGAACGATCGAGCAGACGCCGTATTACAGCAGGCAAGGCATGAGACGAACCGATCCTTCCAAGACTTACTGAAAGATCTCTCGAGGTATAGAGGTATGCCATGCTAGCTCGAGATAAACTTTCTACTTCTCTTTCCAGGCTCGTCCAGGTTGAGTTTCATCGTGAGAAAGGATCGCAAAGATTGGTGTGAGAATGGATCGCAAAGATGAGCTTTGAGCTTTTTTTTTATTCTCAAAGTTTTGTAGTGTTTTGCTAGCACAGGACAGGAGAGATTCACTTCGATGGTTTTTTTTTTCTTGTATGCATCTTTGTACGCCAGAGAGGCTGTGGAGAGCCACAATCTGGTTGAAACGAATGCAAGGTTTTGTTTCATCTTGTTCCACCAGCATTAAAAACACAGAAAGGAGAGATTCTGTGCCTTTTGCCAAATGATGGAACGAAACACTCACTCAGCAAAGGAAAAGAAGATTGTAAGCACCCAAGTGAACCCGTGGGAACGAATCCCCTCACGGGCTTTCTGTTAGTGCTCGTGCTCGGTATTCGAGCTCGCCCAAACTCCTCCCCATAGCGCCGCCATCGCTATGGAAGAAACGAATCTAATCAGCGAGCCCTAGATTCCCGAAAGAGGAATTCTCGCGTGCCTTATATCCTCGCCGTTGGTGAGGGCTAACGGCTGAGATTTTAGATGCCGCGGATATCCTCGGTGTTCTAGTTTTTTCATACCTTTTGCAAGGGAGAAGGAGAAGATGTATGCGCCAGAGGCCCAGCAAATGAGCTCTGGCGACCGCATACAAACGAGGAGCGAGGACAGGGGCTGCTTGTACGCATGGTAAATTCCACTTTTGCTTTGCTAGATCTTTGCTCGGATTTTCGAGTGAGCGTTTTGGTTGGTCTTTTGTAGCCTCTTTACGGGCTGCTGCTGCTTTATGTGCTATGAGGCTTGTGAGTGCTGCCTCATGCTCTGCTGCTGCTGCTGAGAACTATTCGAAGAGTTTCTCTATCTATAAAGTAAAAAAGTTAGATTCTAAACGTGTTTTTACAGTTTTGGTTTAAGCAAAATAGATTTTGTAAGCTTTTGCACGCGCGTTAAATCCACACCGTTGGTGAGAACTAACGGTTGAGATTTTAGATGCTGCGGATATGCGCATCTAGACGTACTTTATTAGACCTTTTCTATTTTCCTCCAATTCATACCTTTTGCGAGAGAGAAGAGGATGTATGCGCCAGAGGCCCAGCAGATGAGCGCCAGCGACCACATACAAAAGAGGAGCGAGGACAGGGGCTGCTTGTACGCATGGTAAATTCTACTTCTTCCCCTCCAATCTTTTGTTGCCAATTTTCGAGTGGAGATCTGTAAGCTTTTCGGTTGGAGTTTTGTAGCCTCTTCGCGGCGTGCTGCTGTTTCATGTGTTATGAGACTTGCGAGTGCTGCCTCGACATCCTCTGCTGCTGCTGCTGAGAGGATTTGCAATGGATTCAAGGAGACCAAAATAAATAAATAAAATGTGATGTGCCCTGCATAAGAAAAACCGGGTGTTTCTTCGTCAAAGCCGCGTCTTTTATTATCTTCTATTAATAGAATAAAGTAAATCGTGTATGACTTAAAAATACATTTTATACTTGGGTGAAGTACTACGTGGACGATGTCACTGGCCTTAATAATATTATTTAAACAAACACTTCTAAAATCATTTCTTCGTAGAAGCAGCATACAAATTCGAAAGAAGAACATAGCCAGCTTCCGAGCTCGAATCCTTGGCAGCAAACACATCCCCCACAACCCTCCTCCCTCTCTCCACATCACCCTGATTCCTACAAGCCCCCAGCAAAACCATCCTCAAGTTCCTGTCAAGAGCCACCCTGCTCAAGCACCCCTCGGCCAAATCCAGTCTCCCAGCACGTCCCAGCAGATCAACCAAGCACCCGAAGTTGAGCTCCGAGGGAACCAAACCATGGTCTCTCACCAGCGACTCAAACAACTGGCAGCCTTCGCGAACGAGCCCGGCGTGGCTGCAAGCCGAGAGGATGCACGTAAAGCTGATGTTGTTTGGCCGGCTTCCATCCTGCTGCATCTTGTAGAAGAGGAGCAAAGCCTCGCCACCCCGGCCATACCTCGCGTGTGTCTCGACAATCCCCGTCCAGGACACCACGTCGTGGCTCCACACCCGGTGGAACACCTCGCAAGCCTCCTCCAGCCTCCCACACTTTCCATACATCTGCGCCAGAGCGTTCCCGAGCACCACGTTGGTCTCCAGCTGCTTTGCCTGATCGATGAGCGAGTGGACGTGCCGGCCATGGGCGGCGGAGCTGGCGGCGGCGCAGGCGTCGAGAGCTGCCACTAGCGTCGACTCCGTCGGCTTCACTCCTGCTAGTAGCATCCTCCGGAGGAGCTCCATCGCTCGGCCGCACTGCCCCCGCTGAGAAAACGCTGCCATCATCGCGTTGCACGACGCCTGGTTCCACTCCTCCATGCCGTCGAAGATTTTTTTTGCGTCGTCCAGCCCCCCGCACTTGCCATAGCAGCTGATGAGAGCCGTCTGGATGGTGAACTCGTGCTCTAGTCCACTCTCCACGATGTTCTCGTGGAGAGTCCTGGCAGTGTGTAGACGCTCGCAGAGGCCGAGGATGGTGAGGAAGCTGGGCCTGCTGGGCTTGAGTCCCAAGAGCATGAACTTGCGGAAGAGAGCAAATGCCTCGTCCGGGTGTCCGTTCTGGCCATACGCTCCAAGCATGGCGTTCCAGGAGATCTCGTCGTCACAGCTTCTTTCGATCGTCGAGAACACCGAAGCTGACGCCTCTAAATCCCCGCACCGACCATACATAGTCACCAGAGCGATTTGCACGGCGGTATCCCTCTGAAAACCTCCTGCTGCTAGCTCAGAGTGGATCCTCTTTCCAACTTCCAGCTTCTCTGGACGGTCGCAAGTGCCTAGCATGAGAAGATAGCTTACTCGATCCGGTTGTAGACCTTCCTGTCTCATTCCACGGTACAAATAGAATGCTTCCTTGTCTAGTCCCTTCTCAGCATACGCCTGGATCATTGCCGTCCACGAGACCAAACTCTTGAGCTTCAAGCCATCGAAAGTTCTTCGAGCGTCGTCCAAGCTTTTGCACAGGACGTAAGTACGAACGAGAATGGTGCCGACGACCGAGTCCCCGTCAAAGCCATTCTCCATAGCCAACCTGTGTAGTAGCCTGGCATCGTCCAAGAACCTGGAAGAGTCGCAAGCCTCTAGAACCACTGCAAAGGTGATGAGGTTGGGCCTCACTCCTTCGAGCTGCATGCGGTGGAACAAGTGTAGTGCCTGCCCACCGCAGAAGTTTTGTGACTGTGCCTCGATTGCCGACGTCCAGGAGATGATATTGGGGGCCTCGATCGACTGAAAAGTCTGAAGAGCAAGCACCGGGCTCCCACACTTGCGGTACATGTTGATGAGAGCGTTGGCGACCATAACTTGTGAGACAAGCCCGCACTCGACGGCCAAACGGTGGATCATCCGACCCTCTGGAAGATCTTCAGTACCGGAGCAACTTTCGAGCATTATGATGAAGACCACCCTGTCCGGCCTCACGGCAGCCTCGAGCAGCATCAAACCCAGCAGCTTCACAGTCTCCTTGCAGTGTCCCGTTTGGGCATATGCTGACATAACCGCCGTCCAAGTGAAAACGTTCCGTCTCTCGGGACTTAGCTTGTCAAAGAAAGCCCGAGCTTCTGCCAGGCTTCCACACTTGGCATACATGTTGATGACGTGATTCCCCAGCTGCAAATTCTCTTCGAGTCCACTTCTCTGTATCTCGAGATGCACTTGCCGGCCCAAGTCTAGAGCTTTGAGCTTGGTACACGCGTGTAGAGCCTGTGCGTAGTTTGCTTCGTTCCGCGAGAGCTTCCCCTTGTGTAAGCTATCGAGAAACTCCAACACGTCCGATTCTTTGGCAAGTTCTTCTTTGCTCAGCGTAATTATGCTTCTCCTCCTCACAGCCACAGCCTACAAACAAAGCCATTAAAAGCTTACGAAAGAAAAAGAAGAAGAGAACTTACCACCAACGTGGTTGCTCGCTTGATCCTCAGGTACATCACAACATTTTTAGGTCTGTTGCGTCGCTATGGCTTCGCATGTCCCAGATTTCTTCTACAAGGAGGCGCTCCGGCTTCGATATGTTGCTCGATCGGCCTTCAAGGTAAGACCCACTACATAGTAACTCCTTGATCTTTGTTGGATCAATCAGCTGGTGGAGATCCAAGAGAAGCACCGGATACTCAAGCCCGGAGCGGCCATTCTGGACCTTGGGTGTGCTCCTGGTGCGTGGCTACAGGTTAGTGTGACAGAAATAAGATTGAAAAACACAAACTTGGCTTACACTGGTTCTTTCAGGTGGCTTGCCAGAACTTGGGAACACGCGACCAAGGTGGAGTCGTTGTTGGTGTCGACACCAAAGTAAGCTCTTTCCGTCTTCTACTTTGAAATTTGCGTTTACCTTTGCTTTAGAAAATCAATGTTCCAGGAGACCACACCGATCACCGGGTGAAAGCCATTGCCGCAGACGTGATGAAGATCAAACCCGAGACACTGGCTGCCATGACACCAGAGGTAAAAATCAGTTCTTTTATTTCTTCTTTTTGAAGAAGAGTACGTACTTGTGTTCGCAGAAAGCATATAATGTCATTCTCTCCGACATGTGTCCCAGTGTCTCAGGCATTGGCTTCAAAGACGCGACGCTTTCCGCCGAGCTTGGCTCTCGAGCTCTAGAACTGGCGCTTGGCTTTCACCCTGATGACGAGAGAGATAGCACCAAGAAAGTAAATGGCTTGCTTGTACCGTCTGGAAGCCTCGTAATCAAGCTGCTCGAAGGTGAAGAGAGCCAAGGTAAGAGGATCTGCTGCTCGATTTTCCGTCCTCTATCTCATGTTGTACTTGTTCATGTAGGCTTTCCGGACTACTGTAACAAATACTTCAGATCAGTGTCGTGGTTAAGACCGAAAGCATCGAGATCTACGTCGCGAGAAATATACTTAATTGCAAAAGGCAGGAACCGATGCCAAACGTAAAATAAGAAAGCACGAATTACCTGAAGCTGGAGAACGTATATTTACACCAAAGGTTCCGTGAGCTCTTCCATCTCAGCCGAAGGAACAGTCGCCTGCCTGAGATTGGCCCTGTAACTACTGATTCTTCCCTGCAGCCATGGAAACACCTCCAGAAGCTTTCCCCCGCAGATTCTACTCCTCTCCACTTGAGCTTCTACGTCCTCCAGCTGCCGTGACATCTCTTCGAGGCGCTCCCTAAGCTCCGCTGCTCTTTCGTCGGCAATCTTTAGTGACCTGTCAGCCGCGTTACGGGCAGCTATTGCGGCTGCTGCCATCTCTTCTTTCGATTGAAGCTTGCTATTCGCCTCTTCTAGCGACTGTCTGAGATGAACCACCAGCTGGTTCAGCGTTGTAATCTGGCATGACATGCGAGTTGATTAGCCTTACAAGGAAAAGAGAAATGAGAATTATGATAACCTCTTGATTGCACTTTTCGACTTCCTCCAGGATTGCTACGCCAGCAGCTGCCTCCTCTGTAGCCGCTTTCTTCCATCGCAATAACTCTTCTTCTGCGGCAGCAATCTCCGCGGTAAGCCCCTCGACCTGATACATGAGAAGTCAGAAAAGAACTCGAGGCAAAAACAAGCGATATACATTTTCCGAAACAATTCCATATCTCAGTTCAAGTTCTTGAACGCGTGCCGTCTTTGCTGCCAAATCTTTTCCTTGCAACGATGAAAGTTTCTTCATCTTCTCAATCTCCATGCTGGGAAAAGAAAAAACTTTAGTCGGTCAAGAGATAAGAAAAGCACCAACCTCGCGTCGGCTAGTTGTCTTTCTGAATCCAAAACCTTCAACCTCGTGCTCCTCAGCTCACTGTCCATGACATTGGCCTGTAAAAACAATCTAAGAAAAAGCTTCCGCAAATATATACGTACTAGAGTTGGCATGTCTACTTCCTCGCCCGTGTCTTTCCTCTCAAACAACGAGTTTTTCAAGAAAGAAACCATGTCCTTCTCCCGCTGCGACAAACGCTGTAGTTCATTCTCAACGTCAGCTTTCTCTTTCAGTCTTAGCTCTTCCTTCTCCTCCCAGCTGTTCTTCATGTGAGCCAACGTATCAGAAATAGACTGGACTCGTCTCAAATATTCTTTGTGAACTCTTTCCGCGTCGCTGAAGTTCGAAAATGGTAGCTCGGGAACAGCCTTCACAGCCTTTCCCTCGATCTTCTGCAGAAAATTCACGACGGATTCCTCGGTTGCAAGGTAGCCTTTCATCTGCTCCACGAGCTTCTTCCTCAAGTCATCCAAGTCGCTCTCCAAAGATCTAGCTCCAGCCTCCGTGCTCTCACATTTCTTTTTCAAGTTCTCCACCTCCCTGGACGTCGCCGCAAGCTTTTCTTCCAGCTCGCGTTGCACGCCCAGCTTCTCCGTCGATAGCTTCTCCCACTCCGAACTTCTCCTCTCCAGCTCCTCCTTTGATCGAACCACCGAAGCCTCAAGCTGGGAAACCTCGATAGCAATCTGGTAGTTCCTCTGCTCCATCTGGCTCCGAGCTTCGTTCCTGCTCTTGATGGCAGCGTCACGCTGCTTCAAAACCTCCTCCATGAGCTCCTCGGTCCTCTTGCAAAACCCATGGCAGATCGCTGCGAGGCCGGTGTACTTGGACGATCTTGGAAATCCTCCCGTAAATCCCTTGTTGTCTCCGACCAGACCCGTGAGCTTCTCCGCCCCAGCGATCAACAGCTTAGCCGACGTCTCGATCTCCGTCCTGGCCTTGCTCGCATCCTCCCTCTGCCTCGAAATATTTTCCAACTGCCTCTGTGCATCGTCCCGCTGCTTCACTACCTGTTCCAGCCTCTCGGAGGAATCCGCCAGGGCTTTCCTCAGCTCATTCTCGCCCTCCAGATGCCGATCCAGCTCCTTCTTGAGGAGCACATACCTCGCATCGCTATCCTCCACCGGATCGGCCGCCTGAGATCTCGACGGCACCACTACCGGCGCGGCCTCCAGATCGTCGTCCTCGAAATCGCTCAGCGCAGCTCCGTCATCGTCCATTTGGGACATTTTCGCTCAAACCCTAGAGCTCTACAGAAACATGCTTCTTAAGTAGAAGCATATTCTAGAAATAGCATATTCGCTTTTTTAAAGTTTAGGGCTAGAGCTCCTAGAATGTGGGATAGTAGTTTTCCAGGCAAATCCCTTCGCTTCTCGTGACGTCCTCTTGCTTGCGAGGGTAGTACTCGTCTTTGGGCTTTGTTCTCGCCTCGATATCCCATCCAATTTCCTGGCTCTCGGTGAGAGGGTATTGGAGCACGTCCACTGGAGCGAAATTGTTGCGAATGTGTTTCACTTTGAGCCCTGCGATCTGCGAACCAAGAGAACTTCCATCAAGATCCAGAGAGGAAACGATAGTTTTCGCACCGCAGCACTGGACTTTCTCTTTGGAATCTCATAATCACCACCTGTTTGGGACATTCCATTCCATTCATACGAGAAAGAGAAAATGGTGATCTCTGTTCTTACCGCAGGCTCTTCCTTTGCATTTGTCTTGGGCTGCAGCGTCAGCCTCACCTTGAATCCCAAAAACGTTTCACGATGGATTCTTTCGTCTCATGGATTCATACCTTGAGCATGGTGGAATCTCTTCATACAAAACTCAAACTCTCCCAAGCTTATGTTCCCAATATTGAGTCGAAAGTGTCTACACTAGAAACAAGCATGCTTTTACACGAGCAAACCACATTTCGAGGAAAAGACCTTACTCTACCATAGACTGCGCCTCTTGATCATCCAGTTTTCTACCCAGAGCTTTCTCAATCACCTGTGGAACGTTAACTCGTCTCACTTGCTGCGACAGATTCTCGGTCTCTTGGCGCTCCTGGAACGCCTCAATGAAGCGATACAGTGGCGTCTCGGCAATGCCCTTTCGGGGCTTTTGGTCACATCGAGAGCAATGCTCCTTGGAACTACAAGCAAACAGGTCTGGAGGTCCAAGTCGAGTGACACCAAAGAAGTTCGGCATTTTCTTGCTTTAGAAACGTGAGCAAGACTGTGATACCACAAGTCACACTGCTATGACATGTTATAACCCGGTTGATGTGGCAATATTGTAATATGAAGATTTGGCTATCCATATTCATAAACCAGTTTTGTTTGAGTGTAAATTCTGAAAGTGTAACACAATCTGGTTGGGGCTTGCAATAACTTTCTGACCATAACGATTTAATATGAAATGCTCCATAAAGCCCTAATCAACACTTATCCTATATGTTCTTGAGCTCCAAATTGATATCTTACCATAGTAGAAAACGGCAGTCATCTTACATTAAGAGTATTTGATTTGAAGTACCAAAGACTCCAACTTCTGGGTCTGTGATAAATATAAAATGATAAGATGTCCCGTGTAGATTCAGCTTGGGGCAAAACAAGATTGGCAAGTATTTGTATGTATTAATCTAGATTTAAACTGAACATAGCTAATTTTCAGAGTGAATAAATGTGTAGTGTGTATTTTGAGCCTTCTGTTTTTTAACTGTTTCGTTTCTCTGTATGAAGAATGAATTTGATTCCATCATATTTGTCGCAACTAGCCATGTTTCCTTTTGTTTGTTCTGTGTGTTTGAGTTTGTGCTACTAATTACGTTGAAGGTGGTGTGGACCTTTGACAATGATGTTTTAATTCACGGTCCCATTCTCACCGTTTGCAGTGCAACGAAAGGATCAAAATGGCCACTATAACAATAGAACTTTTGGGAAGCCGGTCGTTGTTTTTGTCTGGAACTATATAATATTATAATTCACAACCACCGTTAGAATGATGCAGTGTTCCTGGCTTTATAAAAATATACAAAAAAAAAAAAGGGTAATGGAATTAAAAAGAAAAGACTGTAGAACGACAAAGCGGCTGCCTTCCTGACATGCGTACATACGTCGCAACGCTCTTGGAATAATACCCGATAACATCGTCTTTTCTTTGGTGGCATTCGGCTTCCGTGTCACAGTCCGAGTGATTGCTTGCACTCCGATACCAAAGCTTTCAAAGCGTTGGTGGACTGAATGATATAGATCTATCATCCTACTGGAACTCTAGGATCACTTTCCAGCTCGATCCATCAATCTAGTTCTTTGGCATCCATCCATTTGCATAGAGTTATCATCCATCATGGAACTCCGGGTGATCACAACACTAGTGCTAGCATTGTGGGTTTCTGGAGCTTTCAGGCATGGCTCCGGAGCTTCTCCTCGTGGGTCCTGGGAATTGCTCGTCGAAAACTCCGGTGTATCAGCCATGCATATGCTCGTCTCACACACCAACAAAGTTCTCATATTCGACAGGACGGACTACGGACCCTCGGCGATAAGGCTCCCGCACGGACGATGCCGGAACGATTCCTCGGATCTCGCGCTCAAGATCGACTGCTGGGCTCACTCGGTGGAGCTCCAAATTCCCACTCGCAACATTCGTCCCCTGGAAGTTCTTACAGATACCTGGTGCTCCTCGGGGGCGTTTCGAGCCGATGGTACGTTCACTCAAACAGGGGGATGGAACGATGGCGCTAGAGTCGTCCGCCACTACAACTTTTGCGAGGATTGCAACTGGACCGAGCAGCCGGGAGGCCTCCAGAGGCCTCGATGGTACGCCTCGAACCAGATTCTTCCGGATAATCGCGTTATAGTCGTCGGTGGTCGAGTGGCATTCAGCTATGAATTCGTCCCTGGAGATGGTCACCTCTACAGCCTTCCGTTTCTTCGCTCGACCAGCGATGAGCGATCCGAGAACAATCTCTATCCCTTCTTGCACCTCCTCCCGGACGGGAACCTGTTCGTCTTTGCAAACTCCGAGTCGATTCTTCTCGACTACAAGAACAACAAGGTCGTCCGGTCCTACCCGAGTCTACCAGGCGGCGCGAGGAACTATCCAGCGTCGGGATCCTCGGTCATGCTCCCGCTGCTCGCCTCGCAGAGATTCCAGCGCGTGGAGGTGCTGATCTGTGGTGGAGCTTCAAAGACGGCTTATAAGCAAGCATCGTCGGGGTCGTTCGAGACTGCTCTAAAAACTTGTGGGAGAATGGTGGTGACGGACAATAACCCAAGTTGGATATTGGAAGAGATGCCACTTCCAAGGGTCATGGGCGACATGGTAAACTTACCAACCGGAGAAGTTCTCATTATCAACGGGGCTCAACAAGGCACCGCCGGATGGAGATTCGCGAGAAACCCAGCTTTGACACCACTCTTGTATTCTCCCTCCTCAACTTCGTCATCCAAGTTCACCACTCTAGCTTCCGCAAGTATCCCACGCATGTACCACTCCACAGCGATTTTGCTACCGGATACCAGAGTTCTCGTGGCCGGGAGCAATCCAAACGTTGGCTATGACTTTAGCGAAGTTTTGTTCCCCACGGAGCTGAGGATCGAAGCTTTCAGCCCTCCATACTTGGACTCGTATTTCGATGGTGTGAGAGCTGAAATAAGTTCCATGTCCAAGGTGGTGATTGGATACAACTCTCAGATCACGATCGAGTTCTCGGTCTCGGTATTGGGCGACATGGAAGCTACTTTATATGCTCCAGCCTTTGCGACACACGCGTATTCCATGAATCAGAGGCTGCTCAAGCTGGAATCGAGCTCGCCAGTACTTGATGAGAATTCTGGATACTATACGTTCGTAGTACGAGCGCCTCCTACAAAAACAATAGCCCCTCCGGGGTATTATATGCTTTTCATTGTCAATAGTGGAGTCCCCAGCACAGGGAAATGGATACAAATGCTCTAGTCTATAGGCAATTTTTATTCTTTCACATGAATTTTACAAGGGATTCCACACAGAAAGACTTTGGAGGTTTCCTAGTGGCGGACGAAATCTACTAGGAATAGTAGTGACACTAAAACTTTGTGAAACGTTCGTCGGGGCTTCTTCTCAACGCTTTGACTTGTGTTGTCTGGATCCTAAATCAATAAAAAAGGCAGTAGCGTCATAGTGCATGAAATCTTTCACTGACTTTACTGCATCTATTTCACCAGGTTGCTCCATGCAGAGGGTAGTCCATGCTACATTCCTTCGGAAAATATTATATCTGCCTTATTTTCTTTGAAACTATAATCAAACATAAATAATAATAATAATAATAGAATTAAAAATAATAATCAACAATAACCATACTAAGCTTAGCATTTGGTTTTGCTTGCCCAAGATTGAACATTTGGCTTCCCATATTTATAAACAACCAAATTACAGTCTTGTTCAAGTGCCAATTCTGAGGGTGCAACACAATTTGGTTGGGGCTTGCAATAACTACTACTTGACCATAATGATTCAATATCAAATGCTCCATAAAGCACTAAATTTCCATCCTCTTGCATCCTAAAAACACAATCAAAACTCATCCCATATGTTTTTGAGTCCCAGATTGATATTTTACCAAAATATAATACAGCATTACAGTCTTCTTGCATTATAAAAATAATTGATTTCAAGAAAAATACTAGCCATTGACCAGGCCACCTGGTTGCTAGAATCATATTTTTGTATCCACTGAAAAGTGTAAAATCCTCTGGATTGCAAGAAAAATAAGACCCTGTAGCTATTATATTTTCATTTGATGGGGCCATTGGACGTGAGTGGTATCCTCTTACAACATATGCTAAACCAAAGACTCCAACTTCTGGGTCTGCAATAAATATAAAATAATAAGATGCACGTGTAGATAGTGCTTGGGGTAAAACTAATTTTGCCACTCTATCTATCACTTTAATAACTTTGGTATTATTCACTCTTCCATTCTCATTAGGCCGACTACAATCTGTGGATGCTGAGAAAATGTAAAAATAGATATCAATTACACGATCGCTGCCCTCTTCTGTAATGCTGTTCTTGATTACTGTTTTTACAGGTGTTGATTCCGACTCATACAACTCAAAAATAGGAGACATACGTAGATGAAAGAATACACGATCAATATCTCCTCGAGTAAGTGCTCCAGAGGTTCCTTTAAATACAAAGACCATTTCTTTACCAGGAGCTATTACTAATGCCATAGGGAAAACAGTATAATAGATCAAGATGCAAGGCAGCAAAAACATTTTCAATATTGAGTGAACAAATATCAAGCATTTGTCAACCTGTTGGTTAGAGACAAGGCTCTTCTCCTTGAGGTCCAGAGTTCCTAGTTGGGCCAATGATCTTAAAACATGTAACTATGCTGGAAATAAAAATTAAACATCTTCTAAGTGTGCCATCTGTCCTATAGATATGTATAAACTGTTGTTTGATGTTCATTGCAAAAAGAAAATGTTATTGTTCCTTGCGTTTACAGTTCTGTATAAGTTAAGGAAAAGGAATAGTTTGGAAAGGACGACAACTTAGATGCAAGATCTCAAAGAAAATAAATGATGAAAACCTTCTAAGGCAGGCCAACAAACGAGAGATGGAGTCAACGCAGGACGAAATACATGCTTAAAAAAAGGTCCAACGTGATTGTCTTCCGTGTCCAAGGATGTAAAAGCACATTATATGAAACGAAAAAGAGAAAGAGAACTCGTAAATTACCGTGCGTGGGATGCTTGTGGAAGCTAGAGTGGTGAACTTAAGTTGAATGCAAGAGTAGTGTTAAAGCTGGGTTTCTCGCGCATCTCCATTCCGGCGGTACCTTGTTGAGCCCCGTTGATAATGAGAACTTCTCTGGTTGGCAAGTTTACCATGACCCTTGGAAGTGTCATTCAAGACTTCTCTAAAAACTTGCGGGAGTATTGGATAGCTCTTCGGGCCGTAGTAGGACACTGAGTTAAACAGAGTTTAGTAAGCGAATTTTCTATGATATTATAGAGAGAACTAGCTTAACCATCTACTTAAAAAAAAGGATATCAAATCTTGATACGCCCACATAGTTGGAAATAGCTTTATGACATTGGGTTATAGATAAAACTCACAGCTCGCTGCTCCACAAGAGTTCTCCATCTTCCTACATTTACATATGGCAAATCTGGTATTGTTAGTATAATCCTTAATCTACTTTGACCACTGACTGGAATAATCAAAGTAGATGCCCTAATCGCGAGAACCATGGAGAAGAGAGTAGCAGTGATTGGCGCTGGCGCGTCGGGTCTTGTAGCTGCTCGGGAGCTCCTGCGAGAGGGCCACAGCGTCGTGATCTTCGAGCAAGCCCGGCGAATCGGAGGTACATGGGTGTATGATCCTCCACCGCAAGAGTCTCACTCTAGATCATCAAATGTGGCCCGCAATCATTCATGCCACAGCAGCATCTATCAATCGCTGCGCACGAATTTGCCGCGGGAGGTCATGGGCTTCTTGGATTATCCTTTCGTGCCGCGCCGCTCGTCCAGGGATGCGAGGAGATTCCCCGGCCACGAGGAAGTCTTGGATTACCTCGAGAGCTTTACGGTGGAGTTTGGGCTCCATGGCTACGTGAGATTTAACTCCAAAGTCAAGTATGTTGGATTGGTGGAGAGCAATTGGATCGTCAAGAGCTCGAGCAGCGCTGGAAAGGAAGAAAAAGAGAGTGAGGAGGTGTTTGACGCGGTCGTGGTTTGTAATGGCCATTATTTCCAGCCAAGGGTCGCTCAAATTCCTGGTAAGTCTTCTCAAAACATCTAAGAACTTCATAGATAGAACGAAGAACTCTTTGTTTCTACAGGGATTGAGAAGTGGCCTGGAAAACAATACCACAGTCATACCTATCGCACTCCAGATCTTTTCAAAGACCAGGTTTGGATGATCAAACTAGTGATTTTTCAAACCTGGAAAGCTCTCCATCAGTTTCATTGTTTCACAAGGTGGTAGCAGTGATTGGAAATGGTCCAAGTGGCCAAGATTTGTGCAGCGACATTGCTGCTGATTGCAAGAAAGTTCACTGGTGTGCCAAGTTATGGAATTCTCCGGTAGAGTCACTTCAACAAGGGAAGATCCAAAGACACTTGATGGTAAGATCAAAGTTGCGTTGTTTTCGTCTTCTCTCTAAAGTTTCTACTCTCAGATATCAAAAGCTGACAAAGATGGACGATTGCATTTTATGGATGGAACATCAGCTGTTGTGGATGCTATCTTGCATTGCACTGGGTAATTTACGAGTTCTCCTTCTCTTTTTCGTTTCACATAATGTGCTTTTGCAGTTACTTATATGACTTCTCATTCTTGGATACCAAAAACTACGTTAAAGTGGAAGACAATCGCGTTGGACCTTTGTTTAAGCATGTCTTTCCTCCTGCGTTGGCTCCATCTCTCTCGTTTATTGGCCTGCCTTGGAAGGTTTTCATCGTTTATTTCTTCGAGCTCTTCCATCTAAGTTGTCGTCCTTTCCAGACTATCCCTTTTCCTTTGAGCGAGCTACAAGCTAAATGGATTTCTGCCGTGCTCAAAGGACGAGCTAGTTTACCACCGAAAGGAGAGATGGCGAACGACGTTGTGGGCTTTTACAGAACTCTCGAAGCTCAGAGAGTTCCAAATCGACACACACACCGGCTAGATCTCGAGATGGTTTGTTTTCTTTTTCTCTCTTCTTTAGTTTTTATCTCTTTTAGTTTCTAATGCCTACTGTTTCCATCTAGTTCGACTATGCTGAATGGCTAGCAAAGCAGTGTGGAGGAACTTGCCATGGCTTTGAGCCTTGGAGGAAGGAGCTCTTTCTAAGCACACGAGATAACAGGAAGCTCAATTCAGATAGCTATAGAGATGAATGGAGTGACAATGATTTGCATGAAAAGGTGGTAGGCGTCCTGGCTACCAGCTTTTTCATGCGTGAACAATAAAAATAACAATAACAATAACAATAATGTCTAAGAAACAATAAGAATAACAATGAAGGAATAATAGCAATAAGGTCTTTTCTTTTTCTTTGCAATGAACATAAAACAACAGATAAATATCCAGATGGCACACTTAGAAAATGTTCATTTAAGTTGGACCTTTAACCAAATAAGCAGAGTCTAGTGAGCAAAATTTCTATGATATACAAAGAATATAAACTTACAAAGCTGGAGACATGGTTGCTTCAGTGCTGGATCTTCTTCGAGAGTGGGCAGAGTCCAACTCCAAATCTACAACAAAATGTTCAAGAGTGATCAAGGGAGAACATATGATAACATCAATCTTTTTGTGAATATTTCCTGGGGGGAATTTTTAACACGTTTACGCACATTCCAGCACAGGTGCTGTTCTATACACCTGGAAAAGTATTTTTACATCATGCTTAGACGGAGTGAAACAAAACAGCAGTGTCAAGATTCTTAAATGCATACAAAGAGAAACTATTCGGTGCGCCGCAAGCACAAGGACGCCCTAGCAGCATCTTGAGCACCTTTCGATGTTCGGTAAAAAAAAGGATATAGAAAAGAGCAAAGTAGGATCAAATCTGCTTTTTTACCTCGCACTACTACCCACTGGAAAACTGGCACCGTGATGGCAGCACTGAGCTCGCACGCCCACTTAGTTGGATGAAATAGCTTTTAAAACTATATCACATTGGATCAAACATGTTATAGATAAAATCATTGATACCGTTTCTGGAGCTCCGGGAGGCATGATGAACCTCACGAACAAGAAGCTCCACAGGAGTCCTTCCTCGAAGAACACCTTGGGATACATCCGAAAATCCATCATCTCCCGTCTTGGTACTAGCTCTTCCTGCATTTTACATACAAGAACAATGTAAGAGGGATATGAATACTCTCAAAGATTGAATCTTTGATAGTTTCAATTGGGATTCAAGTTACTCGGGTGGCTTGGCTGAGGTACCAATGCTAGTTTGACTTGGAATAATCAAAGTAGATGCTAATAGTGAGAACCAAAGTAGCAGTGATTGGC